CTTTCTTTTTTATCATACGAATAGATGACAAATCAACAGCGACACGGGGGTCTTACATTCCACCACGTCACTGACAGTTCATAGCTCGTCCCATCACGTCCATAGAGGGCCAGATGTAACATCAACGTGACAATTTAAAAGGCGGTGGTCGTCTCGCCGCGCTGTGTTCGATATCATGGACCACATAGTGACGTATACAACAAGAGTAAGACACGTTGTTCGTTTACACGAAATTCGTACATGCGCTGCGCGACGGCCACCGGCCACCAGCCACAAGAATCAAACAAATGGTTTAGATAACAACCACTGAAGTAAATTTGAATATGGTAGTAAATTGAAATTTGCACAATTCTTACTTTTGGAATGAACAGAAGACAAAGAGTGCCAGTTGTGCAGAACAGAATAAAGCCACCGATGATAGCATATCCCGAGTCTAGATTGTCTGATAATATGAACGATAATGGCACCCCTATCACACTGAATATGAACACGTTGTAGATGCACAGTGCTATATATTTACTATCATTCAGGGCTGGAATGCTTACATTTCTGGAAAAAAAATGAAAACAATAAATACAGGAAATTCTACCAGTACACCCTTTGATCTGACAAGACGCCATCAAAATATTGTGATTACGTTTCTCTGTTTAGATTAGAAACAACATTCTCCCCCTTGTCATTGCTGGCTAGAAAATGTCCGACTTTAGCGAGTAGCGGTTAGATAAAAAATTGAATATAATGCTGTAAAGTAACTGAAAAACTTATCGTCATCAGCGACGAGTTAGGGAAATTCATGGACAAAATGGATATTTCAATTTTTAATTGTGGGCGAGTCATAGGATACACCCACTGCAATGTGGAGGATGTTTATGTTTACCCTGTTACTCCCATTGCATTGTGGGTGATATGTCTGATTACCTTGTTTGCCATGTGATGAAGGCACCGAAGATGAGAAGAAGACCTTTAAATACCAATATGGCTGCCGTAAAATAGGCGCTGTACTCAGACAAACAGTGATGGAGCTCGTAGATTATTATAACGTTCTCTTCATATGGACTCTCCTACGAGAAAACAATCAGCTTAATTATTTACGCCTATTTTCCTGCCCACCTGAAGTTATGTAAACGGAGCACTGAGTGTGAACGCAGAGGGCGGAAACATGAAGACGTTTTGAACACTGCAGCTATTTAATTTATTAAACTATTTAATAAGTTATAAAACAAAAAGATGCATTTTTAACTCATCGCCATCCATGGCTTGACTGCTACCTTCAATTCATCGCTATCCATCGTTTGAATGTTTTTTTTTATTCCTCCCCATCAATGATGGCTTGAATGGTATTTAAACTTCGACATCAATGGGTTGAATGTTGTTTTAATTAAATTTAATTCATCACCATCGAAAGCTTAAATGAACTCTTTATTTTGAATGTTATTTTAATTTATTTAAATTCATCGCCATCTATGAATGCTTGAATGCTATTTTAAATTGAATGCTTTGTAGATAATATAAACACAAAATTTCAATAGAACGAGTTGGGTGACATATTATTGTTTTACTCATTTTCGAATAAGTGCTATTAATGTTAAGAAAAGTCATTTTATGAAATTTATGAAAATGATACTAACAATGACGGTTAGAACACACATATTACGCTATGCAATACATGAACTGGGACAATAGTGGTGGCAATGTCGGTCGCCAAACTTATTTAGCAATACTCGTGGGTCCGCGATGGGAGAATATACAGCTCTAACACTGCTCGCAGAAATTAATCTCATTAATTTTAATGTTTAATGGTACCGTGAAATGAATATTAAGTACCCTCGGTAGATATCATATGCGAGGACATCACATGCATCAGAATTATAAGGCAGGGCGAGTGACAGATAATTAACGGTATAATTCTACTTACGTACGGCCTATCTTTTGTGATCACTAACGTGAGATGGTCGACTGCTTGCCATATCGTTAATATCACTATATCAATACCCACCATTCCAACCACCATAGCCAATAAGCGATGATCTTTAATTACCTACGTATAACAAAACAAGCGTACATTACGTATCCTCCTATTCGCAATTAATACGAATGAACGTACATGTAATATAACGCTACACTCATTAGGCTCAGAAACCAGACGCCAATTATCCACCCACCCATCCTATCTTCAGTTGTATACACTGTATTCAAGTTGCAAAGATTCGCATGTATTAAAGTACAGTGTGACGTGAAACTGTACTAAACACACAATCGAACTTTTATAACCAACTTAAAAAAAAGTTCCCCAAGTTGTGTTCACGTCAAAATCCCTATATTGACTCAAATTACAATATAATGACATTTGGACAATTCTGGGTGTTCTCATTTATGAGTAGGCTTCCATCCTAATTACAAAATTGTCACGCAAAGCGATGCCTTGGGCAGTTATCACTCGTACACGACGACACCAAATAATTAGATTTATGAAATATGAGTATCTGTAAGTTAGTGGTCCTGACCGGCTAATAGTATTATACCAACCGTGGATGATATTGCTGGTCAGTATATTCAATACACAAATGCAAGAATCAAAACACATTTTCGAGGCTCTTTAGTTGAGAGGTTAATCCAAATAATAACGGACTAGTTATTCTGCGAAGGTTAATACAATGATACCAACATAATAACGTCAACATATTATTACCCTGTCGATTTCCGCTGTAACGGAGAACGGTGTGCTTGAAACATAGCATCCCATCACTTACAACACGATCGATCAGATGAGACTGGAGGAGGCGTGACAACTTGATTGTTAGTACATGTATATACTAATATACTACATTATTGAGCAAATACATCTATTGATATAAATCTTGTTGTTTCGGATCCAAACTATGAAAGCAACCTCATCGACAGTCACGAGTTCCTTACTGTGCCACGTTAAGACTTAATGGGGAGGCCAGAGCCGTTCACTGGGTAAGTGTGTCATAGACCCTAAAACCCAGTGCACGTGATACGCCACTGTGTCTGTAACGATTGTGCCGCTGACTCAATGTAGAGGCCGACACCCGCGATATTTCCACAATGCTATTCTGATAAAACGATTGTTACCGTGTCCAGTCATGTGCCCCTGAACATGGAATTCTTACCCTTTTCTGTAGAGTTTTGTTGGTAAATATTGTGTAAACTCTCCAAGTCTTGGAAAACATGGCCCCAAAAGAGAGGGTAAACCCAAAGGCCAATATCCACATGCGTATCTACGGGTAAAACAAATAGTAGAGAAAAAAATAAGTTAAACACTGTATTTAATAATACGGATATGCTCACTGAGATGTAAAAATTGAAAAAAAAAATGCATGTCGACCGTGTCCGGATGAACACTGCGGTGAGTTCACCCACCACGTATACGTGTTTGTTGGTGCATAAATTATTATATGCAATTTGCATGCAGGGAAACAAAAAAAGATGCGCCGGCGGTGGAGCAATCGCATAGCCGTCAAAGGACATGCTCTCCGCGTTGAACAATAACGCACCGTCCACGTAATTCGCACTCCACTATAATAACCCAATATGGTGAAGCAGAAAATTGAATTTCAAATTACGAGACCGACAGACGCCGGCGGAGTTTGCAGCGAAATTGGTTGTAAAAATTGCCGATATACTGAAGAGTCGACATTTGGCTGTACTCAAAACAACATACGCCGTTTACGATAATTCCCCCAATTAATAAAAAATAGCCGACAATTTGTGTAACGAGTGCAAGGCTGTCATTGGACGTGAGTGGCCTAATTACTTTTCACATAGACCATATACAAGCACAGCCCGTGCACCGCTTCCGGGGGCGAATACCATGAAATTAATTCGCAATTCAATGCGGCTTTTAA